CCTCCCACCGTCCAAAGACATGCAACTTGTGGGGATAGGTTAATTGGATAATCCAAAGTGAATGTGCGAGTGAATGTGAGTGTGAATGGTTGTCTGTCTCTGTGTGTTGGCCCTGTGACAGACGGGCGACCTGTCCAGGGTGTACCCCGCCTCTCGCCCTATGACAGCTGGGATAGGCTCCAGCGCCCCCCTGAACAGGATAAGCGGACGCGAATGGATAGATGGATGGATGATTTTTTTTCCTTCAGTTTCTTCCATTTTAAGAACAATCACTGTAATTATATCAAATCTATTATATGTGATATAAATGTTAATATATTGCTAATTTGAGTGGCCTGTACCTGACTGACAGCAGCGGTCTACTTTAATGTTTGAGTTCACTGCCTGTTTATAATATCACTGTAACTGCTGAGCTTCTCTGCTGTTAGTAATTAATCATATTTGACAGGCCGATCTGATATTTCCTACGTGATCTTTCCAGGACGTCCAATCAGCTGCCAGCATCTGCAGGCAAATGCGACCGTGCCAGATGCTGAGATTACTCTCCCTTCGCTGTCTTGTCTCCCTTCCTCAGTCATTTGCTCTTCTGAAAGTTCACTGGCTATGAAGTGATAAAGACAGAACACGGACCGATTGCTTAGGAAAATGTGATCACTTGGTCAAATTACACATTTATTGGGTGCATATAAGGTATGTTATAAATCTGCAAAAATGCAACTTTATTCTATTTATTTTCCTATTATGTGCATAATATAGTGTACACTGCATAAACCAGATACTGAACTTTTAATATATATGCAGCCAACACTGTAAGAATTTGAACCATATTTTCTATTTCTTCAGGCTCTACTTCAGCAAAATCAGCCAGAAATGAAGTGTCTCATCTCCAATTTGGTGATTTTACCGCAGTATTGAAAGAACTGAGTGTAAAGTATGTCTGTGGTTCTCAGTCATCAATCGTAGTCTTAACAGAAGAAAAGCGTCTGGACTTCTTCAGGTTTCTTGAAGACGTTTCACCTCTCGTCCAGGAAGCTTCTTTAGTCCAGGTGTGTGAGCAGTACTGAAGTCCGTTACTACTTAGAAAACAACACATTTTGCTTTTTGTAATTTTGCTGCATAGCACCAAAGATTTGTGTTCAACACTCTCGAGGAGGAAGCTGTGTCATCGTCAAAGGATACACTCAAGAGATGAAGATACAAAAGCCCGAAACTGAGGTTATTCTGAGGTGTGAGAGGGTGGAGCGCTACTGGTGTTTTTTATTCAACTGATGTTTTTTGTACTTGCTTTGTCTCTGAGTGAAGTGTCCAGCAGATGGTGCACTCACTTCAGCCTGTTACTCTGGAAGCTTCCACCCTGGGCATATATTTGAGTTCTGGATTGTGCTCTGTTTGTTCAGCTCATTACTGGCCTAAATCCCAGTCCAATTACCTGAGGATAAACAGGAGCAGAGGTGGGGATGTGCTGTAATGCTGTAATTTGACTGATTATCCCTCACACAGCCAATAAATGATGAAGTTCTCCTTTCAGCAGAAATGATGAAGATTTTACAAGCCTTTGCTTGCTTTGCTTTATACATTAATAACATACATTGTAATGAACAAGGAAACAGGTCACAGGCTGAAGGAAGTGAAACACTTTACCTACAGAGATCTGCTACAGAGATGCATTTTATTGCTGCAAGGCACGCTGTCATAGTCATGGCCCAAAGGGATCAGGGCCACCACACTAAGAGTGTCAGCTCCTTTTGCATGAATTATCTTCTGATTTTAACATTTATTGTACAGCATTTCTTTTAATTTGTTTTCTAACAAACTACCACAGCACAGGGCAGAGTGTGTAACTGTCACTGCTTGAAGTTCTTCAAACACATTTGTCTGCAGATTCCTTTAAAGGCGTCTTCCAAGCATGGTTGAAAAATAATTTGTGTCTGATACCGAATCCTCCTTCCTCATTAAAAACTATGGACATACAAATATTGCTCATTTATTCTGCATTTTTAAGTTTTAAGTGTCTACAGTGCTCTGGTTGTAGTTACCTTTTGGATCAGGGCTCAAAGATCTATTCAATTCTATTTAGTTTATTTATATGGCTCCAAATCACAACAACAGTCGCCCAAAGACACTTAATAATGTAAGGTAAAGATCCTAAAATAATACAGAGAAAACCCCAACAATCATATGACCCCTGTGAGCAAGCACTTTGGTGACAGTGGGAAGGAAAAACTCCCTTTTAACAGGAAGAAACCTCCGACAGAACCAGGCTCAACGATGTGCAGCCATTTGCCGTGACCGGCTGGGGCTGAGTGGAGAGACACAAGACAAAAGACACGCTGTGGAAGAGAGCCAGAGAATAATAATAACTCATAATTAAATGCAGAGTGGTGTATAAACACATGGTGAGTGAAAAGGGGCGGGATTCTACGGTGACAATCTGAGCATCGCATGTGCTGAAAGCCACACATGGAGAAAAGGACACGCACTAAAAACATCTGTGGTCTTGAAGAAAATACATCTTGTGTTTGTTGAATAGCTGCAAACAGTGGCAGCGATATAGTTACCCCTGATCCTGCTCGTGGGTACAATATGTACATTTATTTTAATATCAGATCATGCAGACATCGTTTATATCTGTAACCAGTGGATAAATGACTCGGTGCAGCTCTCATTAAAGCATTATACGTTGGAATTTCAACATTTGTAACATTTTGATATGACCGTTTTGTGCAGCCCCAAACCATGACAGAGCCTCCATTGCGTTTTCAAATATCAAATTTGGATTAACACTCTGTGGCAGCTCTGATTTTCAGTCCAGGTCTTGTGTAATTTGGCACACATCAGCCGTGCCGCCGTCTTTCAGTTCCTTCAGAATAGCTTCTTGATAGCCACCTGAGCGCATTTCTGATGAGGCTGCATCAACCGAAGGCTCAGATGCATCTCTCAGGTCCTCTTTTGGATATTCGTCAGCTGTAGATCGCCTGTTAGGCGTGCATCTTCTTGTTTTACCTTCCACTTGTTCCATTTCCTCAATTGTTTAAGGACTTACTGCATCCCATGTCAAGATATGCATGTTAAGATATGTATGTATCAAAAACTGGAGAAAGTGAGCTGGTGGCATTTTTTCCTTTTGTTTCTCTGTTGCCTGGGATCTTTTTATCTGTATTTAATAAGAACAAACTTAATAAGATGATAAATATATCCAGAGAGATTGCAGGTCACCGACGACACGGTACAACGATGCCATGTATCACAGCCTCTCTTTGGTAAATTTGAATGGATGCAGTCTGGACAGAGGTCAGGATCACACCAGGTGAACTCTTTGTGGCCGCAGAGCTTTTAAACTTTCTGATGTTTCTTGTGTTGCTTTCATGCTATTGAAATGGGTTGTTGCTGTTATTATGAAGGACTTTGTTGTTTATGCGTGTTATGTGTAATTGTGATTCTTTCTTTGCTGTAGTTGTATTTATCTGGCAATTGCCACCAAATCAAATAAAGTTTCTGAAAGAACAATAATAAATGGAGCATAAATTCTATCACTGGATTATTAGTATTCATCGATAGAGGTGGAGCTCATTTTTATCACCCAGTTTTTTCATCCAGTAATAATCATTAGTGCCAGTTGTACTCAACTGGCACTAATGATTATTTTCATTTGGTTTGTAAATAATAAGAGAAATAGTGAGAAATGTTTCCACATTAAATTATCTATCAATTAGCATTATGGTCAATTGATCACTTAATTGATATGTCAGCTATGTTTGTATAATCTAATTTTTATGTATAAAAATCCCAGTTTATAAAGTAGCCAGTAACTAAACAGCTTCAGACAGTGAAGTGAAAAGTATCTCCCCTCCTGAAATGTGGAGTAGAAGCAGAATATTGTATGAAATGACCTAAAGGTGCTAAAGTGCAAGTAGCATAAACCTGTGCTTTATTGCAGTACTTCAGTATGTTTACTTACAAACTTCTATAAAGTAGTTCAAACTGTTCAGCTGAAGAAGTAAAGTGCCAGTATGCAAACCACAGCATTTGATAGAAAGTGAAATCCTGCCAACATGTTCAGACTAAGGTTGTGTTGTGGTTTCACACAGTTTTACTGTCGCGCTTGTTTCACAAATGTTGGCTTGTATAATAAACAAGAATCCAAACCCAAAAACTTGACAATTAACTTTGTTCTGTTTGACATTTTTTACAGTTTTGATCCATGATTTCTATTTTCTTAACTGCGTATTCAAGTTAGGGTCAAATGAGGGTAAAGCCTTCCACAGCGCTCATTGGGTGAGGAGAGGGTTCACCCTAGACGGGCTGCTAATCCATCAACACTGCTTAGACTCGCACAGAACATACAGCCAGGGTTAAAGCTCGCAACCTTCTAGTTGTAAGGCAGCAGAGCTAACCACTGCACCTCCAGGTTAATGAGATATGTATTTGATGGGAAATTAACTTGACAATAACCATTATGACTGGACTATCACGTCTAACGTTTGATAACAAATGAGCCAAATTTATTGTTGCTGAATAATTATTAGAAATGTAAACTGACAAAAAAATAAATAAACTAACCCGGATTAGAGCTTTACTTTATATTTACTGTAAATGTCACAGAGCTGCAGTCGGTTTCTGAAATTAAAAAGAGCGACTGAATGCTGCTTTCTGATCGTTTTACAGCCGCAGGGAAAATAAGAAAAGAAATGTCCGTTTGCTGTTTCAGCACATGAACCGATTTAGTGAATGAAACAGCTTTGAAACAGTCATGTTGAACAGAAACATTCACCGTCAAACGGATGGACACGGGCCGTGTGGTCCCCGTGTAGTCAAGCGGTCATATTATTGTATTATTGTAGGGTCTTTGCTTTACAATATAAAGTGCGTTGAGGAAACTGTTGTTGTGGTTTGGTCCTGTATAAGTAAAACTGCACCGAACTGCTTCCTCGGGTTTTCTGACCGGGAATGAGTCCAGTGGTGCCGCACGCAGCTGCTCTCGGTCCTCCCTCCCTCCTTGCTCTGCTCCTCCTCGTTGTACCGCTCACCGGTGAAACACAGTGGGCCGGACTGAGAGGGCGAGAGAGAGAGGCAGAGAGAGAGAGAGAGGCTGTGCCTACGACGCTGTGCCGGTGCACCACGGGGTACGCATTCAAACTGACCAGCGCGTCTCTGTGGCAGCGCAGACACTCCTCTCTCCACACCATCCAACACTGAGCAGCCTCACTGCGACTGAAGCTGGTAGGTAGACTCCTCTTTATTTTACAGCTCTGTTTACAATGCATGAGACAGCGTAGCAGAGATTTGCCCCGAATCCGCATACCACGGCATATTCTCGGGTTAATCTCAGCCCTGATGCCAACAACATTTCCCCTCACCCGGCTTCACGGTTGCAGAGAGCTTTATATATATATATATATACGTCCCCAGATGTCGCGTTTTCCAGCGGAGCTCACCGGAACGCTTTTATAGTCGTTCATACTTCACCACAGCACCGCATCCAAAGGGCAGTTCAGACTGAAAAGAAGGCTGACAGCGGAGCTTCCAGGCTCCACGTGTGAGAAGGACACAGCTGGTGCAGCCTGTGGACCAAACGGCTGAAAAGTTTCATTAGAAGTCAGTTGCTCGGTGTGAGTGCACGGACACCTCTGCAAAACGCGCACGAGGGCGATAATCACAGACGCACTTTGAACTTTTCACCTGATTTCTAATTAAAGTTTCTGCCTGCAAAACGCTTTGCTGAGACAAAGTGAGCAGGAGCGAATTAAAGGTGAAAAACGCCGCATTAAAAGAGAAGTTAATCGGCACAGAAATCTTTGTGGATGTTATTCTCTTGTATTTTTCAGCCTTGGATAGGAAATTTCTTTCAGCCGTCACCAAATTTCACAGAGCCGTGACTCCAAATCAGACCAACACTATCTCCAGGCTACGCGTAAAACAGATAACTGTAATTCAGCGACACACTCAGATGCACTTTAATTTTCTCTGTGTGTCCATACGTAGCAGGAAACGGGCGAATAAGCAGAGAGGATCGGCACACGGTCTAATGTGACGGTCGCTGTTAAATATGACAATGTCCCCATGAGGAGAGCGCATCAATCAGACGTTTCTGCATTTATCAGCCGCTCCACTTACACTAGTGAACACTGATGGATCCGTGTGAGCGCTGCAGGGCTTCTCTTCTCTTCTCTTCTCTTCTCTTCTCTTCTCTTCTCTTCTCTTCTCTCCAATTACCAAATAGACTAGGGGCCCATACAGTGGAGATAATAAAAGCATTGTAATTCTGTTATGAATTCAAACAATGACAAACAAATTGAGCCAGAAAAATAGTAAATAGCACTTGTATCTATTTTCACAGTCAACTCATCATTTTTTTGCATCTTAATTATTCCTGTAAACTGTGATCTTCACTGCAGACAGTATTAGTCTTGTCACCAGAAGTCTTGACCCCCATTTTTAATCAGACGACGTTGTCATAACTCAGATGATCTAAAGGCACTTTTGCAGAGAACACAAAAATCATGAGCTAATGAGTTTTGGCTGCAGGAAATGTTTTTTTCTGTTTGGACAGAGTCTGTGAGTGAAAACTTGTGAACGTGTAAAACAGATTGTGTGGGCTCGAGTGTGCACGAGTCCTTCTTCTTTCTTGACCCCCCATCTTACAAAATACAGGAGTTCCTTTGTTAGGCTGTGTGACCGGTTTCTTCTCTGCAGTGTGTGCTGAAAAACAGCATTACACTCACATGAGGTTCAGTACACTTTAAAGCACAGACACATTTTACAGCTTTTATTTTGGAATGTTTTACACAAGATTTTGAATTTGACATTACAGAGAGAGGTGGCGGATATGATCTCTGTGAAATTTACAGGAGCTGGTCTGTTAAAATTCAGCACAATGAAGCAAAAGACAACATAAATGTACACAATTAGAAATCGTGAAAAAATGGCACCCATTATTTCTTAAAGTGACAGCAATCCACTGATGGTTTTCTGTACACCCATAAAAACAGGGACACAAATTCAGGCTAAAAACACAACAATACTGCAACAGTGGAGTGAAGACTGCTTTTATTGCTTCCCTGCTTTCCTAGATATGCTTGTACGTTGATGTTAGCATGTTTCCATCAGATTTCCACCTTTTTCACACATAAGTTAAATGTTGCTGGGAGCTGGTAAAATGCAGCAGAAGAAAAGAGGATTTTCCGGTGGCAGAAACACTCGCTTTAAAATAACAAAGGGCGAGACTCTATGAGAAACATTTTCAAAGACAAACAGGCTGTCCACACAGAAGTTGTCTCCAACATGTTGTCAGTCTCGCGGATGTCTGATGGAACAGATGTACATTAATTTTAATCAATACGGCTGTCTCACTGGCATGTAAATGTTTAAGCCTGCGCTCAGATTGAATTTAGTGCTGTGTGAACAAACTCAGCCATTTTATTCATTTAATGAAACCAAAAGTCCCGTTTAAAAGCAACTAAACCAAAAACGTTGAGGTTTTCATGCAGCAGAGCATGTCATCTACCGAATTCAAATAGGTGCATGTAAGCTCACCTTCCTGGTAAATTACTTTGTAATTGGAAAACTGTCTGAGTAAAAGACAACGTTCTTTCCTTACGACAGCTTTCCAGAGCTGTGCAGTCCCGTCTCTGTCATCGCTCAATTACTCGTCATACTGATACCAGCAGGCGCGCACCATTTCAGCGCCTTACACTCTTTTAATTTCAGTGTGAATGCCCTCAGCTACTGTGATTGTGCATTCAGCGGAGCACGTACGAACCCACTGTGGGCCAACATTTCCAGTGTAGGTACAGATGCTTCTTCTAACACGCTTTCATATTTAAATGAAAAGCAAAATGAATTTGTTAAGCTATGTGTCAGATATAGTTTTGTTTCAGCGTTCAGAAACCACCCTACATTTCAGAGATTACTGAGCTGCTGATAGCACCAACATCAAATAATAGCAGCTAAGGTTGAGCCATTATTTTGATAATATTGAGATAATGGTGGCATTTATTACCATAATATGATTCAGTGACACTGGTAATAATATCTTAAAGTAATAAATGAATGGCTGGTTAAAAGCAGCCAATCCCAACACATCCTTGTGTCTGAACAGTGCAATAGGTCGACTGCAAATTACTTTCAAATAACATATGCAAAAATAGAAAACATGGGGTAAATTAGGTTAGGAGACTGAAGGTGATTTTTTCTGACAGGTAGCACACTACAGACAGGTTTCAGTACTGGAAGTAGTCCCTCGGCTTGGATGAGGTGCAGCCTGTGTAGAAAATGCAGAGAAAACACACATGACACCTGCTTACCTGCAATATTCTTACATGGACTCACTTGGAAGTCATGCACACTTTGTATTAAAGAGCTGTAACCTGTTGTCGCTGTTCAGTTCAGGGCTCAACGCAACATTTAAGTGTGTGGAATCAATATGCTGTATTTGGCTGCAGACCAGCTGGTGTAGCGACCCCATCAGGTCGTAAGAGATCTTTAGAGGAGGTGACGTGGTATAAGAGCATCACAGTTGACCTTTGGCAGAGAAATCCAATCCAGGCCTGTATCCTGTGACTTATAACATTCAGCCTCTGTTTGGTTAGATTTCGACACCAAAATTATTTGATTTGGTCACAAATAAATCACAACTTGTATTAATATTTATTCTCCACCACGTAGTGGTTAACAGTGAAATAAATCCTGATCCGTCTTTCTGGAAAGATTTAGGAAATGCAGTTATTTTCACAACTGCAAGAGTTCACCTAGATCACCACGGGTTGCTTAAATCCCTTAATTGATCGATCATATTATTTATTTATTATTTATTAGCAATGGATTAAACCCTTTTCTTTAGACGGAGTCGAAAACGAGTAAAATAAGGGCGGAGGGCGAGCACAGGCTGATGTTAGCTGTATATTCAGTCGTCGACTACATGATTTCGACAGCTGTGTCTGAGCCCAGTGTGTTACACTCTCAGCATCTGCTAATACATTCCTGTCTGACACTAGCAGTGTGAGGGATTGTCACTGTCACATTTATAACAACAGAAGCACATTAAAATATGCATGCGCAGGCCTTCATACACATCAACCTGCGAATGCGCACATGTGCTGCACACACTCCTGAAACACATCCACCGACCACCATGCTGGGATCTGCCCGTGACAAACAACCGGGGTGTGAAGTGTGTATCTGTCGCGTCAGCGAATGAGGAATCGAGATGGCACGCCGACATCGTGCGGCAGTCCAGACGGACTCTGCCAAAGCAGCCTGTCCCCAAATTATCACCTCCGTCTTCCAGCGTCTCCGTCATCTCAGCACCTCTCAGCGGCTCTGCGCTCTCCCAGCAGTCGTCAGAGCCTCTGAAAAATGAGCTGCAGAGTTAAATCTGAGCTTTAATGGGCGACACACACAGGGAGGTCTCACACGTCAGGGATGGGCAGTGAAAGGAAATGATCAGTTCACTTCATTGTTGAAAAGAAAAAGTCGAATGAAAAGAACAATGTAGCACACGAAAAACCTAAAGAGCATTTTTAATTTAATTTAAAACACACATTTGTGCCCAAGCACACGTTTGTCATTTAGCTTCTCACTGAACTGGGTAATTCAGTTCGTTCTTTATAACCTAGGCTAACAGATATACTTAAACCTTTACATGTAGACACTGCTGTGATGTTTGTGCGTGCCTCGTGTCAGAATTGTGCTTTTTATCATCCATGGTTATAGTGTAACTGTGATTTAGTCTACTTTAAGGTAACTGCAATCTTACTTTAATAGTTATTATTTTTACCCTATTAAAAAATAAAATAAATCATATTCATAAGACACAGTATAGGTCTGTATTTAGTGACAGTGTTATCCCTGCCAGGAGGTGCAGTTGGTATCCAGTATTGTGTATAACACAGCAGTTGCTCTGAGCCATTTAAGTTCAGTGTAGCCGTGCAGCTGAGCTCAGGTACTGTTCACTGTGCCCATTAAATGGTCCGTTGTGATTTAAACCTAGTCTAAATCAGTAGGTCCAACTCCTGTTCCACCACCTGCTTTAGTCATGGAGAGTTTTTTGGGACCCCACAGACACAAAGAGGCAGTGTCACTGCTAACTGTGCCATTATTCCACAGTATCCTTGGATAGCAAACACTTGTTTGCTGCTGTGCTAATGTTCCACGGCACATTTTGTTTAAATATTTGATAAATGCAATGATTCTTTTTTCAGTTATTCAAATAAGGGTTCTCCTGTAAATACGTCATACGCCAAATTGCAGCTCTGCTCTTTTGCATTCTTTGCAGGTGCAGAAGAAGAACGTGATGCTGTCTCCTCAGGTCACTGGGACTGTGTGTGCACCAAGGGTTTGAACTCGTCAGGACATTTCCCAGCAGCCTCTCATAAGGCAGGGACAATCCACCCACTGCCCTAAAGCAAAAACAACCAGCAGCTACAACTTTGCACTCCTCCATTTGCTTTGGTCCCTAGCACCATGGCCTTCACCCTGTCAGAGATCATGGCAGCAAGGCGGCAGCAGTCGCAGGCTCAGTCACATTCACAGCGAGGCAACAGGACTGCTGTGGAGGTGGATGAGTACAGCACCAACCCCACTCAGGCTTTCACCTTCTACAATATCAACCAGGGACGCTTCCAGCCGCCTCACGTTCACATGTGAGTAGATGGAAATGTAGCTGCTGGTAATCATGGAGCATCCTGCTGTCATTGAGAGTTGGAGCTCATAAACATTTGTTGATATCTTTGTTTGGTTATCTTTTAAATTGCACTAACACACTGTATAACAGAAATGTAGAGATAATGATTTATAGTTCTGAGTGTTGCAGCTACTTCTTGATCAGCAGCAGTTGCCACATAAAGTATATGTCTGGACAGAGCTCTGTTTGTTAGGTTTTCAGGAGACTAATAATAGTATTAATAATAATAATAACGATAATGTATAATTAATAGTTTCACCTTTAATACCTTTGAAATGATTAATGTCAAATAAATACAAACTGTCTGCCGTTGCTCAGATACCTGACACTGATTTTTAATCTACATCTTTAAACTGTTTTGACCGTTTGCATCTCGTGTGCTCCTGGAACGATGCATGTAAATTAATAACATTCCTTTCTTTGCATTTATGAAGCTTCTTCATCTGTTTCCATGGCTACAGCTATTTGTTGTAATGCCAACTTGAGACTTCTACATCAGCAGAGTGATTTATTTTGCCTTTTCCCCTCGAAAAACTGAAAATAAATTGCACAATACATTTTTAAGGAATAAATTGCAAAAAATTTCTTTTTGAATTTTCTTGCAATTGTTTTACAGTTCAGGCTCTAAAATAACATGCAAGAAATAGTTACTGGAATTTTACATAATGTAATAATTTTATTTATTTAAAATGTAAAATAAAATTCAATATTTAAAGTTTAAATAAATTATTTACATTGCGCAATATTTTGCAAAAAATAAAAGCCTTCCAAGTGTTCCCTTTATATGTAATGTGAGTCTGTGCAGACGCAGACTGGAAGTCAGTCATTCCTGCCACAAAGGGTCTTTGTAGTTTATGCTAAGCTAGTACTGATCAACCAGCAACCTGCGAGGCTGCAGTGCAGAAATGCCAAAAACAGTGCAGGTGTTGCAGCTCCTCTGATGGCCACTTGTGGCTTGCTCAAAGTTATTATTGTTATTATCTGACACATGATATCACCCACTGTGTCGCTACAGCCCATCCAAGGATATTCAGTTAGTGAAATCTGAGGATTTTATCAGTCTGTAGCTTAGCATTGATCAGCATGCTTTTGTGACTGTGCATAGTGAGTGTAGCTTGATAACCACGCTTGCAAGGCTGAGATTGTTGCACTCAACCACGTAGTCAGTATATTGTCACTTCTGGCTCCAAAAACCCAACATGGCAGCAGCCACGGAGCCAGAAGAGTCATGTCATCTGTGAGACGAAATCCCATTGGCCTGCACTGGGAGGCTTTTATAACATAGTTCCAGATTGTCTCTTTGTAGATTGTAGGCTAGTTTTCTACTTTGAACCCAAAAAGGATGATATGCATTTATAACTTCATGAAAAACAAACCATGCACATGTGAACTTATTCTACAATAAGCTCACTTTTTATCCTTCTCCCTAAAATGTAAATGGAGTGAAAATATTTCACTGCTGATTATTTATATGAATAACATTAATTATGAACTTCAACTAAAAAAGTTCAAAATATAAACACATAAACAATTCAATTAATATGCTCAATGTGTTAGTCTCATATTTTGTCTTCAGACACAAGTGATCCAGTAAAGCATAAAGATATGAATGTTTTAATATAGCTGAATTGAATTTCTGCTACACTTCAATATCTGGCCAGCGGTGCCATTTAATTATAGTATTAAATTACATCATTAAAGCTGTTCAATAAATGAGTAGACTCTGTAACATGTTCTACGTTGTGAATCACGGTCAGGTTAGAAGTAATCTCCTAAAGCTAAGAAGCCGTGCACCGAACACTTCTTTCATAACAAGAGCATCAAACCGCAGGATGTTGCAGACAGCTGCGAAACTGCAATTCCAACCAAGTAAATAAGAAGCTTCAGATCGCGCCTTTGTAAGGAATTGTCAGTGATCAGGTTTTGAACATATGTAGGATGTTTCTGTGGGGCTCTCATGAAATCTGAAGCTCTGAATCCCTTTTTCTCCGCTTGTTTATATTTAACGGTAGTTTTCATTCAGGTGTGATTTCCACTGTTTCAAGATGCAGCACTAAGAATTTTTGTATTTTAAATATCCCCGACTAGAATTAAAATAACTTAGCAGAAACATGTAGACCAGAGGTGGGAAATACCCCTCATCCTCACCAATAAACGGCACTCTTGAGTATGTAGCTTATAAATGTCAAGATATGGTTTCTTGTTTTTTAACATTGGGGCTTCAAAAGACAATAGCAGTTACTTTTTAGCAGTTACACACAGATCAAGTATTATATAATAATGTCAAAAGCTGACATTATTAAATGGCAAATCAAGGCTAAAAATGATTTGAAACGCCACATCTAAAACTCTAATATATTACTTATAGAAGTAACTAAAGGGGGTGGGGTGATTCGATCAAACCAAAATCTTCCTCTTTTGCATCAACTCGGCCCACCTTGCTTGGAGGAAGAGACGTGAGCATGACCCAAACACCTTCTCTGCAGTCAAACATGGGGGTAGGCATATGTATTAGGGTACAGGACGACTTCACTGCATTTAGGGGCCGAGAACCTTCCCTCAGCCAGAACACTGAAGGTGGGTCGTGGATGGCTCTTAAGGTCTACTGGTCTAGCCAGTCTCCAGACTTCAGTCCGACAGAAAATCTGTGGAAGGAGCTGCGTCTTTGAGTTGTAAAGCGACATCTAAGAAACCTAAAGGGCTTGGAAAGTTTGGAGCCCCTCCTGAAATGTATGCAAATCTAGTGATTTCTCCATCATGTACCAAATCACATTTTCCTTGGGGATCAAATACTTATTTCACGCAGTGACATGCTCATTCAAGTTTTATGTAATGTGTGTGTTTTGTCTCTCTCTTCCTCCCATAAACCTTTGACAGCCTCTCTTGTAGTTTTAATGACGGGTATTTCAGTATATATCAATAAAGCTGCGGCCTGCTGACCTGGGTGTTTCTGCGTAGCTGCACAGGCAAAAATCCCCCTCACTAACTTCTGATGCATATCCAGACATTTTTCTATACACAGGGCTACAATACGACAGAAACTGCTCAGTTCAAGGGTTCCTCCTCCCAGCATGTTGTCAAACCAGCACATTAACACTCTAACACCCCCTTTAGCTACCTTAGATCAGGCTATTTATAGCATGACTATAACTGACCTCAATTTTGCTTGTTCAATTTCTAGCTAAGCTGTGGCAGCTTGTGCAATTAAGTCACTCAGTCTATTTCTGAGCTTTAGTTCAACTTTAGGCTATTATATAAAATCACAGAGTCTTTCGAACAGTCATGTGAAGAAGAGATCCTGTGGAGCTCAGTCACTTTACATCATCTTACATTTCAGTCCCATCAGTTGTGCTATATTTTCTATGAACCCTCTTTTGTATTTTATTACTTCGTGACTCATTTCTTGCTGGTTGTCTTATGTGCATGTGTATCTGCTTCCCTCTTCGCCTCATCTTTTTCTGTCTCTAGTGGTATGGGTGGAGGAGGAGGAGGAAGTAGGGCTGGGTGTTAAGGTACCTGGAGGAAAGCTCACTTAAGTGGGCCACGGTTATTCACCAGCTCTCCTTCTCCCCCCCAGAGACCCCATGGATCTGCACACTCACTGGAAATCCCACAGGACTCTGCTCTTTTCTATATTTGTGCTTTATTCTTTTTCTATCTCTGCACATTTCTTTTTCTGCTTCTGTGGGTACCGTGCTTTTATTGTGGCCTCTCCCTCCTCCTTTGTGCTGTCTCTTGTTTCCCCATCTGCCTCAGTCTGTGGGGATGATTTTCTGTTGGATACTAATTCTAACTTTTTTCATTGTCAGCCTCTTACCACAGAGACTTTACGTATAGCATTGTTGTCCCTTCTGCTGTATTGTTTCAGTACAGCAAAAGCTGCAGTGGCCCCGTTTCGCATCCTCACTCCCTGCTTTCTTGTCCTCTGTTCCTTTTCTTGTCTCAGGGTTGACCCAATGCCTCACGACACTCCAAAGCCACCGGGCTACACACGCTTTGTGTGCATCTCGGACACACACTCCCGCACTGATGCCATCCAGATGCCGTACGGGGATGTGTTCATCCATGCTGGAGACTTCACCGAACTGGGACTGCCCTCCGAGGTCAAGAAGTTCAACGACTGGCTAGGTTAGCAGTTCTATGTGTTTAGCTGTCTTCTCTGACCTTGTGATAATATCCTAAACAAGAAGAACTAAAAAGTTCTCAGAGAGTATTTTAATGCTGATGCATGAAACTCTCTTTTTAAAAACAGCTTCCACTTGTTTTTGGAGCATTAACTCAAAGTCAGAAACTTCCCTAATATTGCTGACCATTTTTGCCGCATACATTTTTAAAGCAGTTTGCATCCTTTCTGCATAGATTTGAGTTTCTTTTTGTTGAATTTAAAGATTAGTGATTTGAGTCAGCTTATAAAAAACCTCGAGTTTCTCAGACATGTCACAAGAAAACAGGAAGCCAAAGACAAAAACTTTGGTAAAAGTATAAAGTAAAGTGAGCGTTCAATGCGCTGAACATGAAGTGTCTTTTAGACTGTACTGAAAAAACCATTAAACTAAAACTGTGCTTTGGGAAACTGATCGCTGTAATATAAAAGAATCCCACATGTGATTTGTGGCAAAACCCACAATATAGTGCGATGTGGCACAAAGTGAGTCTGGTTTGTGTTGCACTCCTCTCGTTTCTTACAGAGGTTGCACAGGCAGTTTGAACGTACCCTTCGAACCAGCCTGGTTCTTTCACAGTTTCTCCAACAGCACAGAAAACAGGAACCTGAATCAACCTTTAATATTCCACATTTTACTCAAAATGTTATTACGCAGCAACGACCTGATACAACTTAATTACTGATACTGTTTAACTTAACGAATCTCGATGGGTCACCCCAAACAGTATAACATCCCCTCGTACTGCACACCAGCTTTTCACACATGGGATCCATATAGATTCATTCTTTGCGCTGCCATCCCTTTCACTCTTCTTGCTATCCTTCTGTCACAAATCACTCTTGACACTCATCTCCATCCACTCCACTGCACCCTCTTCTTCACTTGTGCATTGCCTGTTGCTTTGGGCTGTTGACCCCTGGTATTTAAACTCATCTACCTTCACTACCTCTACTCCATGCAGCATCGCCTGTCCTCCTCAGTCTCACTTTCCTTCCTCTTCCAGCTCTCCTCCACTTTCTCCCTACTCTCACAATGTCGACTCAAAACATCCACGGTAACTCCAGCCTGGTCTCATCTGTCAGCAAATAAGAAGGGGCTCAGATTCCTGATGTAATGCCTGCAGAACCTTCCCTGTCACTCCTGACACTCTGTGTCACTCTGTAATCTGTAGATCCACATGGACAAACTCAAACTCCTTTTCTATGCTTCTCAAGGCAAACGTTGCATCTGTAGTGCTCATACTCAGCATGAAAGCGTCCTGCTGCTCCCTGATTGTCAGCTCTGTCCTTAACCTACATTCTACAACTCTTCACCATAACTTCTATGGCTCATCGGTCTCATCGCTCTATATTTACTACAGTCTGCACTTTTTAAACAAATTGGTACCAATACTCTTGTTCACCATTCCTAAGGCTTCCCTACTCTCTTCAAGATCTTTCAAGATTGTTTTATCTCTTCTTTACTGCCTTCTCTTCTAGACGTTACCAGGTGACCTGTCTGGGATGACAGGTCTGCCTATACTGCCTTTTTTCCGCTGATCTCTCTTCTTTTGGATACTTTTCGGTACTTCCTAATTCCACAACCAAATCTCAGTGTTTGTAGCTCAGGAGCAAGTCCTCTATTAATTGGAAGGTTAGTGGCTCAGTCCCTGGAGGCTCCACTTGACTGCATGCTAAAGTATCCTCAGGATATACTGAACTCCAGGCTGCTCTCTGGTGTGTTCAGAGCCTGAATGTTAGAGACAATGCACTTCGGTATAGAAAAGAAGTGCTTGTATGAATGGGTGTGAATGAGGCATGTTGCATGAAGTGCTTTGAGTGCTGCGGTAAAGTATAAGAACAAGCGTACAGTTTGTCCTTTGTTGTCTTTCCAGAGGATACACCAAACACCTTCTGGCAGCTTCCCTCACCACTTCAGCTGTTCTTACCACCCGAAGCCTTTCTCGGCTCCTCCCTGTACTCTCTGAGACATTCTTCCACAACTCCCAACATGTAATCTTTGCCTCACCCTTTATTTACTTACTCTCCTCGACTTCCAGAGCCAACCCAACGATCTTCCATTTTTCTTGTCGGCACCATACCTACCCAACACTTCCTCGTCTCTTCTGTTGTCCAATGAAGTCTGCTCCACCCACCACTCTCTCTCTCCTGGGGACACTTTAAAGAATTCCTCTTTCTTTTCTAACTAACGTCCAGCCTGTGGGGGATAAACACCAACAACATTCACCTCTTCAGCCTCCAGCTTCAAATTCATGATCCTGTCTGATCCTCTCTTTGCCTTCACAACACAAACTTATATGTGCTCATTCTCTCCATCATATCAGCCAGCTCTCTCCCTTCACCAGTCATAGGCCCTTACTTGCACCTCCACACTGCAGCCTTTCCTTCTCTTTATCTGCGTCAGAACACACGTTCCTCTTCCTTTGTCTTTGGCCAACAGCAGCACAGTTTCCACCGGCATCCTGTTGAACAACGGCACCAGAGGCGGTCGTTGTTAACCAACCGATCTGATACGGAAATCTCATTCTTGATAATCTGCATGTTTGATTGGGTAAAGACTTTATGCCACATTCCTGACACAACTCTCCCCATTTCTGCAGGCTTGGTACCAATGTTAGGAGGACACTGGCTTGTCTGTGTGTGGAGTCCTGTCAGCCTGCCATCTCAAAACAAATACAAATAATGTTGTTTTCTATCAAAAGGTTGTTTTTATTAAACATTACTGAAACATATCCTCACACACACAACAAATTTGAGCTGCCTGAAACTTGTTTTCACTCTCTCACTCTTTAGTGCAGCCTGTAACGTACCATTAGGGGTGGGGGGAAAAATCGATACTGTGTAGCATCGTGATATTTTGTTTGCTAATATTGTATCGATACAGGGACAGCAGAAATCGATATTTTGTTACAAAAAAGGTTTTTGTGCTCTGACTTCAGAGCACGTTGATCCTTTTTCTGAGCAAGAATCCTGACATTCCTTCACTGTCCAAATGTGTTTAACTTGTTTTTGGCAGCAATAAACATGACAGTTTACCTATTTTAATTTAAGACATGTTTTATTTTAATTAAGTTTAAAACTTTTTTATTTAATGTAAAATTATATTTTGTTTTAATTTGCTTTCAAATTCTTCAGTTGCTGAAGGGGCTGCATAGTTTTCATATTGCATAGTTCAGAATAGCTGTAATTGTACCAGATGGTTGCATTCAGTTCAGTGGGACTAGACTGTAATACAAACCGTTCAGTTTGTCAACAATAAAACTGAAATGAGAGAAAGACTGAGTGTGAGACTTTGATATTAGATAAAATGAATATTGATAAAGTTTACCTTTATGTACAGAATCTGAATATCGCAAAATATTTAAGAAAATTGCAATAATATCGTATCGTGAGTTAAATGGCCTGTATTTATATAGCGCTTTACTAGTCCCTAAGGACCCCAAAGCGCTTTACACATCCAGTCACCCACCCATCCACACACTGGTGATGGCAGCTACATTGTAGCCACAGCCACCCTGGGGCGCACTGACAGAGGCGAGGCTGCCGGACACTGGCGCCACCGGGCCCTCTGACCACCACCAGTAGGCAACGGGTGAAGTATCTTGCCCAAGGACACAACAACCGAGACTGTCCAAGCCGGGGCTCGAACCGGCAACCTTCCGATTACAAGGCGAACTCCTAACTCTTGAGCCACGATCGCCCCGTGCCACGATCGCCCCGTGATAATATCGTATCGTGGGATGTATGGTGATTCCCACCTCTACGTACCATGTTCCCTTAATATTACATAAACAACGTTTATTAATAATTAGTGACTCTTGTTTATATTTCTCTCCTTCCTGTCTGTTAATGGAGTTGTTGGAGTAGGTGTTTTGTTCCTGACGGGTTTTTGACTCTAAATCAACTTTTCAACCTTCCTCTTGTCTGTTGCTGCTGTAGGTGCAGCAGATACAAACTGCAGCAGAACGGACACCCAGCCACGTAAAGAGCTTCATATTGTTTTGTAGTGGTTTCAAATGACTTAGTGATCATTTACAGATGACTTTTAAAGCATCCGTATTATGAAAGTCTGTAAAAGTTGTTGTGAAAAAACAGGAGGTTTAGTGCCGACGGCAGAGTGAGTGATCTCCTAACTGCAGCTGCTCTTATTCCCCTCCATGGACCCAAGCGTCCGAGCAGTGAGCTAAGTCTCAGGTTGGTGCTGATGTCAGACCAGCTCCTTCAAAGGCGGCTCTGCCATCATTGGTGTTAATCTGTTAAGTTCTCCAAACCTGTTGTTTTTAATGGCTTAGAACTTATTTATCAACAATAATCTGTAAATTATTTATTAATAATAAACTTTATTATTTATTAACGTTTTATGCTTTGTCAGCGTCATGTAAATCAAATACTCTTGAAAGTTAAGTTTAGTTAGCAAAGAAATTCCTGCCGTGCGTCCTTATATTCTTACACCCTTTGTTAAGAAGAAAGTAAAGGAGCCTTTAGAGAATTCAGACTTGTTTTCTTTGACTTTTGCTCTGCTGGAAGCTTCTTATCTCTGTACTGACTAAGGAGCGCGTGTAAGTCTTATCATCGCCACGTGAAATCTGTTGAAACAGGAAGAAGTAACCTCGCACGAAGCTGAGCAACAGCGGAAAAAAAAAGTTCAGTGTTCGAATCTACAGAAAAGGCAGAACAGTTCCTGCTATCGCTGCCTTCATCGTCGTCATCGACACCTTTCCCCGGTGAAAATCACGCCAGGAAAAGGTGCGTGCCTGATGGCGGGTGCGTGTAAAGCTGTCTGAAGGAGGGAAGCAGACAGTAGAGGGAGATAAGGGGAGAACTTGTTGTCCTTCGCCTCCTTCCTCGCTCACACACACGGGAGCTGTGGGGAGCGCGAGATGTAAATCCGCTAGCCTGCACTCCAGCGGTGAGAGAGGCGACGTAAGAGACGGGAAAGAAAAGATAAACTGAGCCAAATGCG